GTGTCCTTCAGCTGGTGCAGTGACGCCTCTCTCTCCTGCAGGTCGGTGTGACTGTGGCCCAGGCGACGATGGAGCCGCACCTGCTGGAGGCCTGCGTGCGGGAGGTGCTGAACGAGCAGGCCCCCCGCGTCATGGCTGTCCTGGAGCCCCTCAAAGTCACCATCACCAACTTCCCTGCCCCAAAGGTGAGACTGCTGCAGGCTGGAGCAGGGGTGGGAATTCCCAGGGCCAGCGCTCACCCCTGCCTTCTCCCCAGGCTCTCGACGTCCTTGTGCCCAACTTTCCAGCTGATGAGACCAGGGGCTTCCACAAAGTGCCCTTCCAGCCCACCATCTACATCGAGGAGACAGACTTCAGGGAGGTGAGCCAGGCACGGGTCTCTGCACATGCCAGGCTGTACTGCTCTCGCTTCTGGGACGCTTTTGGGGATGGAGGGACACACCGGCGGAGCAGGGCCTGCACTGGGAACCTTCTTGCAGAGGTGAACTGTCTCGCAGGAGATGGACAAGGGCTACAAGCGCCTGGCCCCTGGGCAGCCGGTGGGGCTGCGACATGCTGGCTACGTCATTGCCGTCCAGAACGTCATCAAGGTGGGTGGTTCTTGGCACTGGTGCCATAAGGCTGGGTCACAGGGGCTGTGGGGTGTCAAGGCATGGCTCTGCCCCCGCAGGGAATGACAGCGATAGTGTCTTAGGCCTGTGGGCACCTTCACAGGTACTCTGTGGAGAGGATGTGCAGTGGGGACGCAGGCTGGCTGTCCAGTGGGTCCCTGCCAGCCCTCTCCTTGGTGTGGACAGTGGCCTGGACCCTGAACTGTGGGGCCGGTAGTGCAGCCCTAGGGCCCTTCCGTGGTGACGGGGCTCTTGCCTGACAACTTGTCTTGCCCTGCCCAGAATGCCAGCGGGCGCGTGATTGAGCTGGAGGTGACCTGCACCAAGTCAGACGTGGCAGACAAGCCCAAAGCCTTCATCCACTGGGTGTCAGAGCCGCTGGTGTGTGAAGTGCGGCTCTACGAGCGACTGTGAGTACCTGGGCCCCCTGCAGAGGCTCGGGCGCAGGGTCAGCGGTGCCAGAGCAGTTGGTTTTGCTGCAGCCTGGCCTGGCAGCATGGCTGCGTGCCAGCAGGCTCTGCTGAGGCAATGCCTGGCTCTTGTGGCAGCTGAAACTGGAGTTGCATGTTCAGCAGCTTTCTGCCCCAGGTGGCTCTGTGCTCCCCTCAGCTGTCCTAGCACCTTGGCTGTATCCCAGGGCCCTCCCTTGCCTCACGTTGTGCCAGGGCTCAGCTGTGTCCCCCCAAGAGTAAGGGACACACAGCTCCTGGGCAGCACAGCAGGTCCTTGGGTGGTACCTAGGAAAAGCCACATCCAAATGGCAGCAGAGGTGCACCCAGCTGCGTGGCAGGTGTAATGCTGCTGTGGGGCTCTGAGAGCAGCTGCCCCATGGCTGCCAAGGAGCAGCGCTGCCCCACTGCCCCTCGCTCAGAGGCTTTGGCTGACAGCCCCTCTCTCATTGCAGGTTCTTGCACAAAAATCCTGAGGACCCAGCAGAAGTCCCAGGTGGATTTCTGAGTGACCTCAATCCTGTGAGTAGTGGCAGAAGGGGCCAAAATGCTGGGTAAGCTGGGAACCTGCTGCGCCAAAACCGGAGGCACCTGCTGCAGGGCAAACCCCACTGCTCCTTTGGTGTGGCCCTGGCTCCTCCCTAGAAGCTCTGGGGTGAGAGGCAGGATGGGCACAGTGCAGCAGGCTCTGGGGAGTGGGGCCACGGAGGGAAGAGGGGGATCGGAGGCACTGATTGAGCTGTTGTCTGTCTCCGTCCCTCCTCTCCTCTCCTCTCCTCTCCTCGCAGGACTCCCTGCGCGTGGTCGACAATGCCCTGGCCGACAGATCTGTGTTATCTGCCCGGCCCTTCACCAAGTTCCAGTTCGAGCGTCTGGGCTACTTCTCCGTGGATCCCGACAGCACCGAGAGGAAGGTGAGCCTGGGAGAGGGGGCGGCTGTGCTCCCCGCGGGCTGTCGTGGGGCTGTGGGGCTCAAAGCTCTCCCTCTCCCCAGCTGGTGTTCAACCGGACGGTGACGCTGAAGGAAGACCCTGGGAAGGCCTGAGGAACGCGCCGCCACCGCTGCTGCTTGCGGCTTCCCTGCAGTCCCCAGCTGTGGGGGCACACCCCAGCACGGTGCTCCCCTGTGGGGCCAGGCCAGGCCCCGTCCGCGCACACTGCGAGAGCCACAGCTGCCTTAGCACGACCCTGCAGGGCCATGCAGCGTATGGGACAGCATCACCTCAATAAACTGGAGCATCAGAGCCCTTGTCTCTGTACTGTCACTGAGTCCTGTCCCCTACCGGGGCTCAGTCAGCTTTGGGAGCAATGGAAAGCTGAGAGGGGGTCTCTCTTCTCAGCATGTAGGGGCTCAGAGCCTGCCCCCCCCGGTGTGGGGCTGCCGCCCCTCGGCGAGGGCCATGCCTCCGTCCGCCCATGCTCACCTGGGTCCCCCCGGCCAGGGCTGTCTCAGCACCACACTGGAGCG